AGAATCTAATTATTTAATTTCAAATTGAAATATAAAAATAAAATTTATAATTAATAAAATCTTAAAATACCGCTTTTAAAATACTAGCGTTTCCTTTTATCAATTTTATGATATGGCTTCATATCTTGAAACTAGTTGACTCATCTCTTCATATTTTACTACAGAATTTTACTATTTTAATTTTGCAAATAGGCTTTTATCATTCATTTTTACATTACCTTGTGATTTTAACTTCTTCGATGTATTTTAACAAAATCGTATAAATTCTGTGTTTTAGAATAATTTTTTATCCATAGGCCCTATTTGTAATTAAGTCTATTTTCAATTCTATAATTAGGCAACTTGTTGATTTTTATGCTGTAATTTGTATCACAGAACAGGACCATATGTAAAACAGGTTGTTACTTCTTCCCAATATGTCATCCTGTATATGTTCAATAAGTAAAGAAATAGAATAAATTTGCAGGCATTTTTTAACTTAATTCTGAGTATTGATAAACTAACAATAAACAAGTCAAGGTTCCCGTAAAATAAGGTATAACGCTAGTTTCTGATTATATCACCAAATAAACAAACTAAAACTTTAATATTTAATATATAATGGATGTGTTCTGTACTTATTCCCTAAAAAATAAATAATCACTCACAAATAAACCAGAGAGATAATTCTCAAAAACACCTAGAATACTACTAGACATGTTGTTTATATGGCATTTTCAAAACCAAAAGGCTTTTATTTTGTTGCAGTACAGATTCACAACCAATAAAAATCTTTAAAAAAAAATTGACCAATTAAATTATAGTTTAGTTGTCACTTACACAATCACAGTATAGTTTCTGCTGCCAACATGTCAATTATTATTTATTAAAATCTGTAAACTATTTATTAATTTTTTTTTATTCCTATAAAAAGTAAACCTAATATATACTTATGTGACAATGACATTACTGGTAAATTTTTCAAAAATGAGTATAATTTATGTTGATTTATTGAATGCTTTTTTGCTATTTTACAGCATTCAAATTGTTTGAAGAACAAAAAATAAATAAAAATAAAAACATTTTTATTTCTGAATTTTATCATTAGGGATATTTTTACCTACCTGTCATTTGGGGCCATTTTTACAGCGGACATTTTTTCAGGGGCCGTTCGTTCGTTCGTTCGCTCTATCATTGGTTCGTTCGTTCATTCGTTATGAAGTTTATAAACATCCGATATTTTAAACCCATAAAGCAAGAATTGAATGAGCTCTAAATTTTGAATATTCAGTTAAATTACAAAATAGAAACCTCAACGTACAACACAAACGGTATGGGAGAGCAGTGTTATACACTTGTAAATATTTTTTTGAGGTAAAGGCCAAGTCTTTAATTGGACGGAAAATGTCAGTTTGGTCTCCTAAACCCATAGCCTTTTGATCCCCTATAATTAAGACTGGCATTTAGAGGTCCTAAGTTGAATGCTCATCTGAGAGATCTGGTTAAGTGTTTTCTAGAACCTAAATATATTTTGTTGTGCATGTGATACCAATTGGCACTGACAATGGATAATACAGTAGTAAACACTTGTAAAAAGTGTTTTTCGCGAGATCAGTGCATGCACGCCGCAGGAGTGTGCGAGGCTTCCCGCCGATTTCCTGACTCCATCCTGCGACTCGACGGGAGACGGCAATGTGAAATTTAGATTTTTTTTATTATTTAGGGAGAAATTATGAAATGCTACATTAAATGGATTTAAAGTGGATTTAAAGTCACTGCATGCTGTTATTTATAATTATAACACTTTATGGTATTCAGACAAGTCATGTAGGCCTACTCCTTTTTACCCGACACAAATCGGTATTCATTATACAGAAAAAATAAAATTGCTTTAAAATCCCTACTTTATAGTGGTCATTAATTGGAGGGGAAAAGTTTAGTTTTCAAATAAAAAACTTGAAAAAAAAAATCAGTTTTCAAATACCAAATACTTAAATTAATATCAACATAAATCATTATAATATGCACAATTTAGTTTTTAAAAAGAATATATTATCAAGTTGTCATTTTATGTTATATCTTGGAGAAATTATATGTGAATAACTTTATTATTTTTTTTATTTCTCAACGATATTCATTTTTTAATATTATAATAATTTAGTTTTGGGCAGTTTCACCGAGCGGAATCACAAAATAAAAAAAAAAAAAAAAAAAATAGCAGCGCGCATACAAGTTACAAATAACTTTGATTACCAGACAATACATGGAGTAGAAATAATCGACAATTTGTCTTGGAAAGATTTTTGAAAAAAGACGCGATTAATTATTTATTTATTTATTTATTTATTGAACCACATTCATGAGGGTAGCCTAAAGCAGCAATGCTGACTTAAAAATATTGCATCTGTAATATTTAAATGATTTAACAGCACTGCACCTCTTAGATTTTGTAATGAAATTGAAGTGGTATATGATCGATATGGGTATTAATACAAAAATGCCGATTCATTAAACATTGTATCTCCAAAAGCAAATTTAAATATAACGAAGACTTCGCTTATGTATGCTGGTGCAAATATGAAACACTACCTCAGATATTAAAAGAATCTAATTATTTAATTTCAAATTGAAATATAAAAGTAAAATTTATAATTAATAAAATCTTAAAATACCGCTTTTAAAATACTAGCGTTTCCTTTTATCAATTTTATGATATGGCTTCATTTCTTGAAACTAATTGACTCATCTTTTAATATTTTACTACAGAATTTTACTATTTTAATTTTGCAAATAGGCTTTAATCATTCATTTTTACATTACCTTGTGATTTTAACTTCTTCGATGTATTTTAACAAAATCGTATAAATTCTGTGTTTTAGAATAATTTTTTATCCATAGGCCCTATTTGTAATTAAGTCTATTTTCAATTCTATTAATAGGCAACTTGTTGATTTTTATACTGTAATTTGTATCACAGAACAGGACCATATGTAAAACAGGTTGTTACTTCCTCCCAATATGTTATCCTGTATATGTTCAATAAATAAAGAAATAGAATAAATTTGCAGACATTCTTTAACTTCATTCTGAGTATTGATAAACTAACAATAAACAAGTCAAGGTTCCCGTAAAATATGGTATAACGCTATTTTCTGATTATATCACCAAATAAACAAACTAAAACTTTAATATATAATGGAGGTGTTCTGTACTTATTCCATAAAAATTAGATAATCACTCACAAATAAACCAGAGAGATAATTCTCAAAAACACCTAGAATACTAGACATGTTTTTAAAAATGGTATTTTTAAAAACAAAAAGGCTTTTATTTGGCAGCAGTACAGATTCACAACCAATAAAAAATCTTTAAAAAATTAAATTATAGTTTAGTTGTCACTTACACAATCACAGTATAGTTTCTGCTGCCAACATGTCATTTATTACATTATTAAGATCTGTAAAGTACTTTTTTTTTTTACTCCTATAAAAAGTAAGCCTAATATAAACTTATGTGACAATGACATTACTGGTAAATTTTTCAAAATTGAGTATAATTTATGTTGATTTATTGAATACTTTTTTGCTATTTTACAGCATTCAAAAAATAAATAAATAAAAACATTTTTATTTCTGAATTTTATCATTAGGGACATTTTTACCTACCTGTCATTTGGGGCCATTTTTACAGCGAACATTTTTTCAGGGGCCATTTTTACAGAGGCCATTCCTTCAGGGGCCATTGTTTCCAGGGCCATTTTATCTTACACCGGTACGAACACTCTGTATAATTTCTCTTTAAGGGAGCTAAACACGGCAATAGACATCAACACGTTTCTTTTAATCTATAGGTTAAAAACTTAGTGAACAGTCTCACTAAAAATTAGTCATATCAGTGGAGGGAGGCCCAACGAGAGGCCTCGGCCTACTAGTAAAAAAGTCTGGTGGGGTCCAGGAATACTCCTAGTGCCTAGAAAAACTAAGGGAAATGTTGAGCTATTTTCAAAGCAATTTTGAGATGTTTCAGAACGTTACACACGTCATCACATACATATCACGTGTCAATAATTGTGTAGGCATTGTTTTTAAAATAGTTAATGTGGATTGCTTGTAGAGTAAATTTTTGTTAATAATTAAATTATAAATTAAATAAATTGTAACAAATTAATGTTTATTATTAAAGTCAGACTCCGGAGGAAAAAAAAATTGATATTTTGTAGAACTGATTTTCCTAAGACAGAAAAATATTTGTTTGACGAAAAACTTGGGAACGGTAAGCGTAACCGCCCATTTTCACACCTTTTTCCCACCAGTTTTTAAATATTCAAACATCTGTATCTCATTAACCGTTGCTCAGTTTTTGATCAAACTACCTTTTTACTGTCTTAGAAAAATCAGTTCTACAACATATCAAAAAAATTGTCTCCTCCTGACTTTAAGATAAGTGTAGTTCAAAATTTGAAGTGCACTGTGGTGTCGATGCGACATGAGCATCTTTACGGATTGATACCTGCACACAACACATTTTCATTATTATTATTATTATTATTATTATTATTATTATTATTATTATTATTATTATTATTATTATTATTATTATCATTATTATTATTATTATTATTATTATTATTATTTATTATTATTATTAATAACAACAATAATAATAATAATAATATTATAATTATTATTATTATTATTATGAAAGTGTAAATTAATTTTCCTTTACTAAGTGTAATTGACATCGTCTCTGCTTTGAAAATATACATTGATCTTTTTACATCACATCACAAATGCAAATGTTATTGTTAAAGTGGCTTAAAATCCAGGGATAAACAGTACAGTGACCTGCCAAAACCATTACATTTTATATGATAAAAATATGTGACATGCTTATGATATAATCATGATGACATGACATCCTGGTCATATATAGGCACAACATGACTATATATGGGCACAACATGACTATATATAGGCACAACATATATGGGAATAAAAAAGGACTAAATGTTGCTGCGAAGATCCTATCCAATGACGTCTACGTCTCATTCACGCCGAGGGATTGAAGCCTATATAATGTGATATTTTCATTTTGTGACGATTCATCAACCTTTGCTGTAGCAGGGAAAACAAGAAACGTAGGTAATCGTTTTATTAATATGTTTTGTTTTTACTGTATTTTGTTTGTAGTGAAAGAAAGTTAATGTCTTATTGAATTGAAAAATGGTGCTTTAATATGTTAAAATCGGTGATGTTGTTGTTGTTGTCGTTATTATCGTTGTTGTTGTTGTTATTATTATCATCATCATTTTCCATTTGTACGTCTCTCAGACTCTCTCCAAGGGTTGGTAAACCTAGAAGCCGCATATTTACACTAGCATCCCATTAGGCTTCGGACCCCACTGAGCCCTACACGGCCCTCATGGTAGTAGGACCCGTAAGGCCCGGGACTTCCCCATTACGCCACTGTATCCCATCTGCATATGAATCTTGGGAACATCAGTAATGTTGCTGTTGATGTTGTTGATATTATCATTATCTAAAATCATCATTGTCATGAACATTAATATTATCATTCAGTTTATTCTGTATGACTATTATTACTATTACTATCGGTATACTTAAATAATTTTTTCGTATTGTTTCTCATCAGGCGTGTTTTCGTTGTGAAGAGTGTGAAGAGTAACGAAACTTAAGTTAAACTTAAGAAAAAAATACAGGTACAACAGCCATGATGCCTTCGTGTAACTTCTACATTTTTTTATACGTACGTAAATGGCCGTATCATCTGTTTACTTGTATCTGCATTGTTCTATTTATAATTGGATGTACGGGAAATGTCGCTGTTATTTTTCTTATTCGTCGATGTAGACAGTTACGAGGTGCACCCGTCATTCTTTTAGTAAACCTTGCAGTAGCCGATATTTTAGTTTGTCTAACGTATTTCCCATTATATATATATATTAGTCTAACACAGACGAGACCACTGATTATTACTTCTAATAATAATGTCTGTGCAGTTACACTTTTCTTGGAATTCCAGTCACAATTATGTTCAGCCTTGACAATCGCATCTATTAATTTTGAGAGGTACGTAATAGACCTAATACACGTTCTAGCCTCGTGTATACTAATATACATATATATATATATATATATATATGTATATATATATATATATATACTAATATACATATACAATATATATACTAATATACATATACATATATATACTAATATACAT